GGCGCCCGGAGGCCGGGTGCCGCCCCCCCCTGCCGCTGGGCAGCTCGCGGGTCTGGACCGTGTAGTAGCGCACCGGGGACAGCCCGTCGCTGCCCGGCTCCCAGGACAGCAGCACGCTGCGTGCCCGCACGTCCTCCTGCTGCACCACCGGCTTGCTGGGGGGCTGCGGGCGGGCTGGGGGGCGGAGCAGGTGAGTGAGGGTGGTGGTGGAAGGGCTGTACTTCCTCGGGAGGGAGGGCGAGGCCTCGCCCCTTTCCCCTCTTCCCGTGTGCACAGGGTCCTTGCATGTTCTCAGGCCCCACAGCCAGCACCTGTGTCCCTGGTCAGAGACGTGTCCTCAGGCTCCTTGAGCTCCAGGTGTCTGGGATGTGACATGTCCTAGCAGCCCCGACCCTAGGACTGGCAGCGAGGGCAGCGGCCCAGCCCCTCTGCTCCTGCTGGTGAACCCTGAGACGGGACGCAGCAGTGGCGCATGGGACCGAGCACATGTTCCCCGGGACTCTGCTTTTACCTGGCCCACCTGGCGCCCTGCTCTCCCCGGGATCACCTCCCAGCCCTCCTGCAGGGCTCTCCACCTCGGCGTGACTGGCACTTGGAAAGAGTTGGGGCCCTGGCATGCGTGGTGGGGGGCTCAGCAGCATCCCCACTTCTGTCCACAGATGCCAGCAGCGCTGCCCCAGCTGTGACGACTATGGTGTTTCTGGACACAGCCCAAATTCCCTGGGGGCAACAGAGCCCCCAGCCGAGAACCACTAAACTACTGTTTTTCCCTAGGGACATTTTATCAATAAATAACTTTCATGTCAACAGGGGTCTTGGGCCTGCTTCTGGGGAGCCCGAGATTGAGCGAGGTGCCAGCCCAGGGCAGCAGGGTACAACAGCCCAGGCCCCAGGACGTAGCCTAATCTTGACCTGCTCGGACCAGGCTGGGTATGCGGGAGAGGCTGGAGGGGGAGAAGGTCACCGACCCTCCGTTAGAGATCCTTGCAGCGGGACCCCCAGCTCTCCCTGGGTGTCTACTGGGCACCTTACTGACTTGCGCTCTGTGTTGGAGCCCACTTTCCACTCCAGACCAGTGCAAAGCCGTCCATGCCCCGCCTATCCCAGCACCCCCCAGGACGGGTTCCGAGAATTCGGGTGCCCCTCGCTGCCCCCAGGCCCCCCAGCCCCTGCGGACAGTCACCTCTCTTCTCAGTTGTCACCACCAATGCCTCAGCGGCCTCTCCCCAGCCCTTGCGGGTCTGGGCTGTGATGCGGAACAGGTAGACGGACTCAGGCTTGAGGCCGGTGGCCGTGTACTGGCGGGGGGCGGGGGGCCGGCCCCCACCGAGGCGGTGCTGGCCGTGGTGGTGTTGAGTCGGTGTGTAATCTGGTACGCTGTGGGCAGAAAGAGGCGGGGGGGCTGGGGGGGCAGGGGGGCGGGGAGTCAGGTGCGCGTCTCTGGGCACCGCCCCACCTGCCCTCGGGCCACCTTGGCTGTGGTCTGTCTGCCTGAAGCCCTCCCGCTGTCTCCAGTCTTTAACTGCCACTTGGAGAATGTGGACGGTGGGGGCCTGGGTGGTGATGGAGTGAAATTCTGGCTCAGGGCTTTCCAGTTTAAAGTGTTAGCCCTTCCGCCCCCTGCACCCCATCTTTGGAGAGGTGCATTCATCCAGGGTCAGCTTTTGGGGAAGGTCAGGGCTGAGAGCCCGGAGCAGACTCAGGCAGTCCAAGTTACAAGGGCGAGGGTCGGAGGCCGTGGAGAGAGGTGACTTGTGCTGACCTCGCCTGTGTGTGAGTGCTGGGGACTTGGAGTGTGACCTGCAGCCTGTCCTCCAGGCTGTGGGCAGTTCCCCAGCAGGGGTTTGGCTGCGCAGAGCCGGCCAGAGCCTTCCCTTGGCCACACTAAGGCAGGCAGCAGGTTTACCAGATGGCCAGATGGCTGGGGTCTGGGGGCATTTACGGGCAAAGGGTTGACCTGTGGTCCTGCCCGTGCCTCCAGCAAGTAACCTGACAGATGGAAGCTTCCAGCAGGAGAAATGAGGCACAGAAGACCTGCAGGCCCTTCCCGGGCCTACCCTCCCTCTTGCCAACAATGCCCTTTCCCTTTGCTCGTACACCTCCCCTCTCCCTGCAACCGGGGTGGGGAAGGGCCAAGGCTTACCAAGAATGATGCCGTTGGGGGCAGCGGGGGGCTGCCAGATCAGCCGCACGGACGTGGTCCTCACCTCTGGGAACAGGATGCCCATGGGCGGCCCTGGGACTGGAGGGGACGAAGGAGAAGGGGCAGGCAGTGAGGCTTGCTTGGCCCGGCCACATTCAGGCGGAAGGAGTGGGGAGGGCCTGCTTGGGTCGAAGAGCTTCCGTGGTGCCCTGCTCTGTGCCTGGCACCATGTCAGGAGCCAGGGACGTGCGAATGAAATCCAGGCGGTTTCTAGCCTCCCAATAAGTCATCTGGCAGCCACTGGAAGGTAGAATGAAGTTTCCATCCTCCAACTAAGTGTTATTTGGCAGGAACTAGAAGGTAAAAACGAGGGCTGGGCCCTCGGAATGGTGCTATTTGGCAGGGACCTGGGGCTCCGGTTTCCGTTGGCTCAGGGTCTGTCTGAGCTCCAGCCAGGGCTGCCCTCCAAAGTGGCAAGTGTGCCCTGCTCTGGTCTGCACAGTAGAAGGGCCCATGTGAACTTCCTGCCACCCGGGGGGAGGTGGCCGGGGCAGAGGGAAGGGCCCACTCTAGCCCACACCATTCTTCTCTCTAGGCCTCCCTCTGGGATCTGGGGACCCTGGAATTCTCATCCGGAGAACCCCAAGGATGTTTCTAGGCCCATCCCCAGATCCATCCTCCTGAAGGTAACTGTGCAGCCCTGGACCCAGGGATGGCCAAGGGTAGCCGTTTTGGGAGTGTGGTTGGAGAATGGATGTGGGGGCCGAAGGAGAGGGTGGGTAGAGAGCAGGGCAGTGGGAGTGGAGGCAGTGGCTGGGGGAGCTCGTCCCAGAATGCCAAGAAGGCGCCAAGCACACATTGTCAGCTTTTCTTATCATGTCTTGTTTCTTAAGATTTTTCCCCCATAGGGTGTGTTTGTGTGTGTGCTTGCTGGAGAGAGACAGAGATAAGAGAGAGAAAGTGAGAAATCATTCCCTGGCGGGGGATGGCCACACTGCCATCCCTTCCTCACCTTCCCCTCGGGATTTCGAGCACGCACGCCCGTGCACCCGGCGGGGTTTTGCCGTGAGTTGGCCACAGTGGTGAGTACCTGGAGCCTGCCTGGCATCACTTCGTTTGCAAATGGGACCAAAAGTCTTGTGCTCTGGAAAAACTAAGGCTTTCTCTCCTACAGACTTACTCCAAGTGAGCCTGTCCCAGGTGAAAAGCAGTCAGAAAGGCGCAAAGTCCCTCTTCTGTACCCTTGTCCTGGCCAGACGCCAGCTGCCCTCTCGTCATGCCGTCCTTAGGGACATGGGCAGTAATTAGCAGTCATCACTGACCCAGGCCAGGCCGTTCCTGGGGGCAGAGCGAGGTCCCAGAGGGGGCAGGGCCGTTCCTCCCCGTCTTCAGACTGAGCTGTGGGGGCTCGGACTCACCGTCGTCCAGCGTCCGCTCCAGGATGGGAGGGTGACTGGGGCTGCCGTCCCCGATGCGCGTGAAGGCCAGCACCTGGACCTCGTAGAGCACGTACTTGCCCAGGCCCGTGAGCTGCGCACTGCGAGAGGAGTTGCCCTCCACCAGCCAGAACCGGGGCTGGGAGTCCGAGTCCTTCTCCCTGTACATCACCTGCCGGGCCAGCACCGGGTGAGGGGTCTCACCACGCCCACCCACGCCTCTCCCGAGTCTCGTTCCCAGAGAGCTGGGGGTGACTGCAAGGACGGTGTACCCAGAAGGCTGGGGACGCAGAGACAGGGTCAGCTTTGGGACCGGAGGGCTCCTTAGAGCATCCAGGCGGGAAGGCCCGCCCACAGAGGGGGCGTGGCCTGCTCGAGGTCACAGGGAGAGGGCAGCGAGCGGGGCCAGCAGGCCTCAGGCCAGGGCTATACCACGCTGCCTGGCACAGCGTCCAGAGGAATTGAGGGTGATAATGGTTAACCTCGGAGCTGAGAGCGTGGCCGGGGGCAGCCAGTGTGGCTTTCTGGGGGAGCTGGGCCAGCCCCAGGGGTCCTGGGCTGCACTGGACGCCTCCCCACCTGGAAGGGAGGTCTCCCTGGTTGCCATGGTGACGGCAGGGGGTGGACGGAGGCGGAGGTCAGGGCAGCATGGATGGAGGCAGTGTGGGGAGCCCCGCCCCGGATCAGAGACTCACCTTATAGCCCAGCACCAGCCCGTTGTGATCTGCCTCGGGGACCTCGCTCCAGCGCACCAGCATGCTGCTGGAGGTGGTGGCCAGCGCCGACACGTTGGCGGGGCCGGAGGACGGGACTGGGGGGCAGAGGAGGAACTCAGGACCCAGGCCTCCATGGGGCCCAGGGCAGAGCCCCTCCACCCCGCTAGGGAGGACAGTGGCTCCCCTCTCGCAATTACCCCTGTCCCCCGTGGCGCCCTTTGGCTTTGGCGCGTCACAGACACTGTTCCTGGCTTTAGATTTGCCTCCGGTCCTCTGCTCGCTCAGGCTGACCCGAGGAGAGCCTGCGTGTCCTCTGTCGGCAGTGAGGGGCAGCGGAGGAATCAGAGGCTCCGGAAGCCGCCTGCCATTTAAAGGGGGCCAGAAACTAACGGCCACAGGGGGCCGAGCACGCATGGAGGGGAGAGGCGTTGCCTGCAGGCTGGGGCTCCTGTTCTGTGGGTGACCACTTGCCAGCTGTGAGCCGCTGGTTGCGTTTCTGGAATGTTCTGAGAGCTAACCCTCCTCCGACTCTCCATCTCAACTCTTTCAGGTTGCTTTGGGTGTCAGGGTCAAGGCGGAGGCCGGGAGGCGGGCCAGCTGGGTGTGGAGACTGTCTGGCTATCCTGCAGAGCAGGACACTGCCCCCTTCCGTCCCAGGGAGGGGGCAGGCTGGGGAGCTGTGGCCACATGACAGGCCCTCTGCATGACACTGAGCGCCGGCAGGGGACAGGAGCTCAGACTATTCCTGAGGACAGCCCTGCGGGCAGAGGCAGAGGGGACAGTGAGGGGTGGCTGGGTGCCAGTGGCCGTACCTGACTCCCGGGTCCGGCCCACCACGGTCTGACTCCACGGCCCGCTCCCGATGGCGTTGAAGGCTTGCACCTGGACGCGGTACTCCGTCCACTCCTCCAGGTCCTCGATGGTGTACTCCCGCTCCACGCGGTCCTGGACCACGTGGCTCAGCGTCTTGCCGTGGCCATCCGACCGGCTGTACTTGATCTTGTAGCCCACTGACTCGGGGTTCCCGTTGTACTCCATCTCCGGGAGAGGCTGCAGCAGGGCAGGGTGGGCAGAACGGCTCTGAGGAGGGCCCTGTACAGGCAAGGGCTTGGGCTCCTCTTCCAGGGAGCCTTTGGGAGCCCCGGTTTACAGCCCAGTTCACATGGGCACTGTCACCCAGATGTGGCTTAGGTCCGTAGCCCCGTGTTCCTGGGGTCATCTCCCTGCCCTACTCCGTGCTCCGAGGAGCCATTCTGTATGGAGCCCGTGACAGTTACCACCCTTCCGAGGGAGTTGGCGCTGCCGGGGAGGCCCACAGAGGCCGTCTGTCCAGCAGGCTGGTGAGCACAGCCACTGAGGCCCCGCTGTCTCCTCTGCCTCACGGCCTCACGGCCTCACTCAGGCTGCCAGCACGCATCTAACTGAATCACCTACACACCTGGCGTCAGCTCATGGGGACAGGGCATCCGCATATGGAACACCCGTCACAGGCAGGGAGTCCTGTCCAGCAAGCCTTGGTCACACCTGCTGCATTTCATAAATGCCAGAGAGTACATGAGCGAGCGAGTGAGCGAGAGAGAGAGACAGAGAGAGAGAGAGAACACACCCATGGGGGCTACTAACACTGCAATCCTTTACTAACACTGCAATCCTTTACTAACACTGCAGTCCCTCACTAACACTGCAGTCCTTTACTAACACTGCAGTCCCTCACTAACACTGCAGTCCTTTACTAACACTGCAGTCCCTCACTAACACTGCAGTCCCTCACTAACGCTGCAGTCCCTCACTAACGCTGCAGTCCCTCACTAACGCTGCGGTCCCTCACTAACACTGCAGTCCCTTACTAACACTGCAGTCCCTCACTAACACTGCAGTCCTTTACTAACACTGCAGGCCCTCACTAACACTGCAGTCCTTTACTAACACTGCAGTCCCTCACTAACACTGCAGTCCCTCACTAACGCTGCAGTCCCTCACTAACACTGCAGTCCTTTACTAACACTGCAGTCCTTTTTCCTGCCCATCTCCATCCCATCAGGATTCTGGCATACCCGGGGTGTTGTTCTGGCTGCTAGGGGACTGGGGAGCTGGGGCCCAACCGGCCATGGGGGACCGGTCTCCTCTGTGTAGTCTAACTGCTGCACTGTGGGCCCGGCCTTCCTGCTGCATTTTCAGCCTCACTGCTTGAGTCTCCTCAAAGAGAACAGGCAGAGTTCTTCCTGGGGCTCGGGACCAGGCAGGTGGGGCTGTGGCCACTGGTTCGAGGCTGTGCGTGTGCTGGGAGGGAAGCAGCAAGCAGCAGCCGGTGCTCACTGTGGAGCCTGTGCTCCGAGCAGGTGGGGCCCGGGCCTGGTCTGAGGCCCCTCCTCTGACAGGGACAGAGCCGGACTGGGGCATCCTTGGCCATCACCCCGCCCCATCCCCATTCAGCTTCCCCTGGGCCTCTGGAGGGCCCACGGCCTGCAGCTCACTGCATTCTGACCCACTTTACCCTGTTCTCCCCAGCAGCCCCCCGCCTCGGGCTCACTCCGGCTCCCTCCTACCAGCCCCTCCTACAGACACTTAGTGAAGCGGACGGAGACCATTAGGACGGCAATCGATGGGCCTGAGAGCCAGAGGCCGCGCTCAAGCCCACGCTCGCTCACCTGCTAAGGAAAGGTAACGGCCCGTGCACCATTAACGGGCCTGAGACGTGCCCCAGGCCCAGCACGGCAACGCAACTGCCTTTCCATTCCCTCTCCAGCCGCCTCCTGAGTTTCGAACCCTTTAACCTTTCAGTATTTGGAAACCTTAGAGTGAGCTTCAGGAGGAGGGCAGGGAGGCAGCAGCGGTGGGAGGCAGGGGCAGCGGCAGGAGAGGTAGAAGGCTGCCGGGCACGGGCTCCTGCCTGTGGGGCTCTTGGTCTCTGGGCTGGGCAGGGCCGAGAGAGAGGGCCCGCCCCCCTGGGCGGGGACTCATCATTAACAGCTAGCGCTTCTGTAGGGGACGGGACAGTGCCTCCCTAACCATCGGCCCCATTATGAGGCTGTCCCCATAGGTGACAGGCAGGCCTGGTTCCCAGGGAGCCCAGCCTGTGGGGTGGAGCATTTTGCACACCATGTTTTGCATAGCCAGCAAGAGGTTTTGGTCTGCCACGGACACGAGGGAGTCGTGTGGTCAGATGGGGCTGGTGTGGTGGAGCCTGAGCCCTGCCAGTGCTCCCGGGTCCTCATGGAGCCACGGGGTGTGGGGCCGTTCCCATGTCTGTCTAAGGGGTCTCATTTGCTCTGAAAGCCCCTGGATAGATGCGCCAAGGGTCCTGTGCTGGGAAACACTGTCCCAGAAGGGGCCTGCGGAGAAGCAGGGGGCCCGGGGGAGAGGCAGTTTCTTCCGTTCCCCAGAGGGCAAGACGGTGGTGTGTTCAGTGGTTAGGGCTGAGGCTTGGGGTACAGACTCCCTGGATTGGGATCTCAGCTCTGCTGAGATCGAGGAGGAGTGGGAGGCTGTGTGTGTGGGAGTCATTGGGTAAATTATCTGGTTTCTCTCTGCCTCAGTTTCTTCATTTGCAAGACGGGGACCAAGATGGCTCTGCTGGGTGTTTGGAGAAGACACAAAGACTCTGAACGAAGCCCTTCAGCAGTGCCTGGCAGGAGAGGGAGCCTTGGCGTGGTGGCATCGTGTACGCTGCACAGGCACACTGCGTACTGGCCCCCAACGTGCGCCTGGGTCTGTGGGGACAGTCGGCCCGAAGGGTCCCTCCCTCGCCGCCTCTCAGACACGGGAGCAACCTTTCACTCTCTGCTGCATGTAGCGGAATGCACGGCAAGGTCCTGTCCTCTCTGAGCCTCTGCGTTCCTGGCTGTCGCTGGGGTAAGAATGAATGTGGCCTCTGTAAGGTTATTGGGAGAATAGAGAGGGGTGAAGCCTGAGGGGCCTGATGGCAGTGGGGTGGCGACGCATGGCTGCGATGCTGGACCTCACGCGATGGCCCTGGTTTGTACCCGGGGCCTCCCTGTGCTGGCCGGGCTGGCGGAGGCTGGGGGTAGGTAGCGGCATCGAGACCTTATGGGATGCCTATGTCTCTGTCTTGCTCTAACGAAATAAATACATGAACGTGAAACATTTCAAAATGCTTGGCACTTGGCACTGCTCGGTAGACAGTGTCTTCCACTCCCTGGAGGGTATTCTTCAGCTAAGAGGTGCTGTCCTGCCCCCTTGTCCCCAAGGGAGCCTCACCATCCAGCGGAGCCACAGGCTGGTCTCACTGGCTGTGCGCAGGGTCACGTTGGCCGGGGCCATGTCAGGGGGCGCCTGGAGGGTCTGGATCTTTCTTGAAGGCTGGCTGGGTGGGCTGGTGCCTACGATGTTCACCTGGCGCATGCGGAAGCTGGGATGGGGGCAAGGGGACAAGCACGAAGGTGAAGGAGCACCCCAGAGCCAAACTCTGCCCCGGATAGCTGCCCTGGCCCTGGCTGCGACCCCTGCCCCCGTCGTGTTACCTGTAGTAGGTGAAGGGGTTGAGGTCGGGCACCTCCATGGAGCGGGCATCAGGCTCGTTGGCCAGCTGGTGAATCAGCAGCCCCTCCTCTCCTTCCC